TAGTACAGCATACACAGCTCTCCAAGTTATGCATTAGAAAGTTTTAAAATAATGTTTGTGTTACTGTATACTGTAAAACAATAAAGAAAAAAGGAAGAGTGCAAAAGCTTGGTATATGAGAATTCAAGAATGTTACAAGATATTTAGTATAACTCATATTTAATGTTACAAAGGTATGGTCTGTTTTAATAGAAACTGGTCAGGATTCTAGATAAATAACATACATCACCTGTATATGGTCTTGTTATGCAGACAAACTACTCACTCACTATCCTATGACATTTTCATCAATTTTAACTTACACAAGTAGAAAGAACAGTTTTTTAATCGATGGGTTGAATTCTGGAAAAGTTGTGTAGAAAAAAATTCCTATTTGAAAACTGGGTCTACTGGATATTGAAAAAAAAGATGTGAAGATCAGAGATGAAAGAAACTGTAGCTAGCTTTCACAACTCAAAAAAAAAAAAAAAAATTCATTGCACTTTTGAGATTTACATTAACATTTGATTTTTTGTTTTTGTTTAAAAATTGAAATATATCGATACAAGTAGTCCAGATATTAGTGTACTCTTCAAAAACAGAGAAAATAATATATGGAAGAATTGGTCAATGTTTTGACCAATATAAAGAATTATACAATTATAGCTATTGAATCAAACGATTCATACTCAAAATAACGTAACAATAATGAGCTTCATTATTAAACTTGTCAAGTACAAATAAAATATATTTATATTCTCTTCATTTTACTAAAATGCATGCGATATAGACGGGTTCATTGTCTCTGAGGTAATTTTAGAGTATGATCTGAAAAAAATTTGGCAATTTTTCAAACCAAATGATTTGCATTAAAATGTTTGCTGTATAAGCCTATATATGTAGGCTGGCTTGTGCTGTGGTTTGACTAAGTTTATACCTGCAAACACTAATGTTGCAAAGGAAACGAGAGATCCTGATTATTTAGCTCAGTACTCTGCTGATCAACAACTTGTTGGTTGCCGTTGTACAGACTAGTATGTGCCTGTTGCCATGGGGACATGCTGTGTAGTTGTTGATGGTAGTCAACAATCTGCTGTGAGAGATGAGAAGGTAGTCCTTGATGCACTAATGGAGGTGGGTAGTCTTGTTGCGGACAATTTGGATATTGGATTTGTTCTTGGCACTGTCGGTTCGACTGCATATTCCTTTGGCATGGGATTTGTTGTTGCTGCAGGCCTAGTTGCCATGGTTGTTGTTGAGGTGGTAGTGATAGAGGCAAACCATTTCGAAATGGTTGTTGATTAATGGGTTGTGTAAGTTGCTGTATGTTGCATTGTGGCCTAAACTGTTGTGTTATCTGGTGTTGAATGGGTACAGCTTCAGAATTATTAGTAGGTGGGCTGGTTCTTGATGGCTCTTGAAGATATTGTTGGAGCAATGAATCTGTTTTCTCTAACGCAACATTTGTTGTATGTGGGCTTTGAAGAAGATTTATTTGTTGCAGTTGTTGCTGTAATTGTTGTTGCTGTTCCAAGACTTGCCTTCTCTCCTGTAGCTGACGCTGTAACAGCAACCTTTTCTCTTTCAAATGTGATAACTGTTGGTCCTGCACTTGCTCTGTCTGCTCTGCTTCTAATATTTTTTGCTGTTCTTCCTGAAGCTGGCTCTCTTTTAGCTTCTGTTTCAGGAGTTGTTGTAAGATAAGTTGTTTGTTTAATTTCTGTTCTAGCATATCTCGTTGATGCATATGTTCATTAATCAATCTCTTTTGCTGGTCATTCTGCTTTTGTTCCAGTATGTATCTCTGTCTTTGCTGTTCTTGGAGAACCAATAAATCAGCTTGTTGAGCAACGTTGTTATTTTCAAATTGTAAGTTAGTCGCAATTTGCCTGGAGTCCACCATTGGGGTGTCTTCCAAATCCAATATAGTATCAGTAATTTGTTTTTCCATTGGTGTTAGTGGACCAATGACGTCACTTGTATTCTCAGGCTTGGATGCAAGTGGATTAACCTCATCACCTGTCAACAAAGCACGCAGAAGAGGAGTGTTTTTATCATCAGAAATACCCAACATAGATATTTTTTCTGTTACTTCATGTGCTGGGGTATCTTT